CAGCCTGGGTGACAGAGTGAGGCTCCATCTGAAAAAAACAAACAAACAAACAAAAAACCCACACCCACCTCTTCTTGCTTTCTTATTATTTCCAAGTTTAGGATAATTTTTCTTAACAATGAAAGTAAAACTTCACATGAATCTTCTACGTCAGTGTTTTTGGCTTCATGATTGTCTCTTCTTGGGTCAACTAACAAAGTTTCCCAGGACACAACATCTTTAGGTCCTTCTAAGTTTTCTCAGATACAGTAGTACCCCTGGAATCTTGTGTAGGTTTTTATCCAGTTTGAAAAGGAGACAGATATATTAGATAATTACAAACACTGGAAAAGTACATAGTTCTGTGGATGTTAAAAATGTAGGAATAACTATCAAAATAATAATAATCTGTAGCTCTTCAAAAGAGCAAAAGAGAGAGAGGCAGTATAAAAATAGCTTTAACAATCTAATAGATGGCCAGAAAGGAAAAAGAAGATGATAAACAGAAAACAAAATAAGTTGGTAGAAATAATTTCTGATATAACACTCCCAATAAATATAAATGGATTTAATTCATCTATTAAAAGACAGAGATGGCCGGGTGCAGTGGCTCATGCTTGTAATCCCAGTGCTTTGGGAGGCCAAGGCAGGTGGATCATGAGGTCAGGAGATCAAGATCACCCTGGCCAACATGGTGAAACCCCGTCTTTATTAAAAATACAAAAATTAGCTGAGCGTGGTGGCATGTGCCTGTAATCCCAGCTACTCACGAGGTTGAGGCAGGAGAATTGCTTGAACCAGGGAGTCGGAGGTTGCAGTAAGCCGAGATCATGCCACTGCACTTCAGCCTGGTGACAGAGTGAGACTCCGTCTCAAAACAATAAATAAATAAAAATAAATAAAATAAAAATAAAATAAAAGACAGACACTATCAAATTGGATGGAAAAAAGAAGTCCTCCTTTCATAAACATGCTGCTATGGTCTGAATGTTAGTGTCTGTCTTAGTCTGTTTGTGCTACTCTGACCAAGTATCACTGATTGGTAATTTACAAAGAAAATAAATTTATTTATCACAGTTCTAGAGGCTGGGAAGCCTAAGACTAAGGTGCTAGCAGGTTTTTTGTCTGGTGGGGGCTGCACTGTCCAAAGAGGAGGAATATTACATCCTCACATGGCAGAAGGTGGAAGGGCAAACAGGACAAATTCCCTTGTCATGCCATTTTATACAGGCACCTAATCCCATTTATGAGGGCAGAACCCTCATGAGTAATTTACTTCCCAAAGGCCACACTTCCCAATACTGTTGCATTGGAAACATCTGAATTCTGGAGAGGAACATATTCAAACGATAACATTCTGCCCCTGCCCCCTCACCCAAATGTATGTCACATAAAAATATTTCATGTCAATAGCCCCGAAAATCTGAACTCATTCCAGCACCAACTTTATAAAGTATAAAGTTAAGAGATATGGGAACCAATGCATGGTTCATCCTGAGACAAATTCCTCCCCAGCTGTAAATCTGTGAAATCAAACAAGTTATGTGCTTCCAAAACACAATAGTGTACAGGCATAGGATAGACACTGCTATTCCAAAAGGGAGAAATAGGAAAGAAGAAAAGGGTAACAGGTCCTCAGTAAGTCTAAAACCCAACAGGACAACCCTGCCTGGTTGCTTTGCTAGGAGCAGTTCCCACTTCAATTCTCACTGGTGAGGGTCACTACACACCTCCCAATACTCTTGCATTGAGAGCATCTGAATTTTGGCGGGGAAACATTCAAATGACAGCAGTGTCCCCCTAAATTACTGTTGGAACCTAATACCAAATGTGATAGTATTAAGAGGTAGGGCCCTTGAGAAGTGATTAAATCATGAGGGCTCCATCCTCATGAATGGGATTAGTGCCCTCATAAAAGACTCCGGAGAGCTCTCTTGTCCTCCTGCTGTAAGGATGCGACAAGAAGGTGACATCTTTGAAGCAGAGAGCAGTCCTTCATTAGATACCAAATCCACTGGTGCCTTGATTTTAGACTGCCCAGCCTCCAGAAATGTGAGCAATAAATTTCTATTGTTTATGAATTACCCAATCTAAGGTATTTTGTTATAGGAGCCAAAATAGGCTAAGACACATGCCTTAAGCAGCGAGAAACTTAAAGGATGAACGTAAAAAGACGATATAAGAATAAAAAGATTACAAGGAAAATACAAACAACAGAAAAGGTGATGCAATAATATTGATATGAGACAAAATAAAAAAGGCCAAAAGCACTAAAAAGAGCTATTTCATCATGATAAAAAAAGATTCAATTAGTACCTTTATGAGCACACAGAGACAGAGAACTTCATACACTCAAAAATGATATTAATTTTGGAAAATTTTGATATATTTATTAAAAATTGATATATTCAGCAGAGAAAAATTAAGTAATAATATAACTACTTGAATAAAATTAGATCAACAAGTTTGATTAATAGAGAACCTTGCACACAACAAGTGGAGAATATACGTTATTTTCAATACGTGTGAAACATTTTTTTTTTTAAAAAAAGGGCCAGGGCTGCGCATGGTGAGTTACACCTGTAATCCCAGCACCCTGAGAGGCTGAGGTGGGTAGATCACTTGAGGTCAGGAGTTTGAGATCAACTTGGGCAATATGGCAAAAACCCATCTCTACAAAAAGTAAAAATTAGCCTTGGTGGTGTGTGCCTATAGTTCTATCTACCTGGGAGGCTGAGGTGGTAGGATCATCTGAGCAGGGGAGGTTAAAGCTTCAGTGAGATGTGATCAAGTCACTGCACTCTAGCCTGGGCAACAGAGAAAGACACTGTCAAAAAAAAGAAAGAAAGAAAGAAAGAAAGAAAGAAAGAAAGAAAGAAAGAAAAAAGAAAAATCACATACTAGATCACATGAAAATTATAACAATTTCCAAGATTTAATATAATCTCTGTCTACAAAGCATATAAATTACAAACAACACTAAAAAGATGGTTAAAAAAAAAAATAGCAACCTTTAATTGGAAACAAAAAATGCACTAAAAATAGCTCATTGGTTAAAGAGGAAATTACAATGTCATGAAATATTTAAAAGTAAAGATAAAAGTACCACATGACAAAACTTGTCGGATGGAGCAAAATCCTATAGAAAGGTAAGTACAGCCTTAAATATAATTATTTTATTTATTTATTTATTTTTGAGATGGAGTCTTACTCTGTTGCCCAGGCTGGAGTGCAATGGCACAATCTCGGCTCACTGCAACCTCTGCCTCCCAGGTTCAAGCGATTCTCCTGCCTCAGTCTCCTGAGTAGCTGGGACTATAGGCCTGTGCCACCACGTCCCGCTAATTTTTGTATTTTTAATAGAGATGGAGTTTCACCATGTTTGCCAGGCTGGACTTGAACTCCTAACCTCAGGTGATCCACCTGCCTTGGCCTCTCAAAGCGGTAGGATTACAGGCATGAGCCACTGCGCCCAGCCCCATATAATTATTCTTAAAAAAAGAAACATTAGAAGCAAAGAAGCTACACTTTCAAGTCATGTGGCTAGTGAAAGAATTACAGAGTAACAAAAGTAAAAAAAAAAAAAGGAAAGAATTCATATAATCTATGAAACAAGAAAGAAATAAAAAAATTCACAAAACTAATTCTTTAAAAAAATAATAAAGTAGACAAACCTCTGGCAAGACTGATAAGATTGGAACAATAAAGACGAACACTATTCAGAATGAAAAATGGGACCTAAACACAGTTAGACCCTTATTTTTAAAAACTCCAAGAGAACAATGTGAACAAGTTTATTCCAAAAACAATTTCTAAACTAGATAAAAAAGAATAATTTCTAGAAAAAAAGTGGTTCAAGAAGCAATGCAAAGCCATACAAATATATCTAGTTATACACATCTATCTTGACCCGTATCTATACATCTGTAATAAACAGGCTCCCCCTGCAAAACAAGCTAAGTCTAGATGATTGCCGGAGAGTTTTACCAAACACTCACACTCATGTTATGAAAGCGCTATAAAATCTTACTGCCAAATCCAGACATGAGCATCAGGAAGAAAAGAAAATTATAGGCCTACTTCGCTAGTCACAGATGTAAAGTCCCTAGACAAAACACTAGCAAATTAAATTTGGCAATAAATAGCAATATCATGAGCAAGTATTAATAGGATTTATTCCAGTAAAGTTCAATATCAAAAAAACTATTACCATAATGTACCCGATTATCAGATTCAAGAAGAAAAACAATAGGATCATGTCAATAAATGCAAAAAGCACTTGTCAAACTTCAGCATTTATTAACAATGAAGATTCGTAGGAAACAGCCAAAGAAGGAAACTTTTTAACTATTAGTAGTACCTACACAGAAAACGTTTCCTTGAGAAAAAAATCTTAGAGTTTATAGTTTACAGTTTCCAACCCACTGATAAATTCAGTTACAGTGAGCATTCATTTAATTGCTAAAATAAGAAAGCAGTTGACCAGTAAAGCCTAGCTACCAATACGCTGCAACAAACATCACAACGGAAATTTTTGGAAGCATAAGAAGGATGCTGGCAGGTCAAGGACATTAGTTGGTCGCCATTTCTATTCAATGTTAAACTAGGAGTCATGGTCTAGACAATGGAATACTATGCAGCTGTTAAAAAAGACAACACATAATAAACAAAAAAGAAAATGAGGTTAGGGAGTGTGGGCATGAGGGGACTAACGCGTCCCCCATGAGGGGACACCAGCGTCCCTTGGCCCTGCCACCCTTTTTTTTTTTTTAACTTCCACCTGACAAACTGCCATTTATCCTTTAAATACCTTGGCAGGCATCACCTGCTGCCCCACAGATTAATCCTTCGTCTTTTGCACTTCCTTTGTACCTCGTGCGTACTTCTATAAGCAAATGTATCCGGTGGTTTTACAAGAATTTGCTTACCTACCAGTGCACTTAACCCAAGGCTAGCACAGAGGAGGACTGGAAAGAAATGCTGCACAGACAGCACTTTTCTCTGAAGGCTCTAGGGCTCCCCGAGCCCCTGCATTAAACTGGTTTGGGCAAAAGGACAGGCATCGCTGAGATCCGCAAGGCCGCCGGCCAGCGGCGGGGTCCCCTGTAGGCAGAGCCCTGGGTCACACGCGGACGCGGTCCCGGCGTTTCTTCTCAGGCCCTCAGCCCGGCCCACTTCCTCTTTCCTCACTTTAGAGGGAATACAGCGATCCCTCTCAAAACAAAACACACACCAAAACACCATTTTTTTTTTTTTTTTTAAACAGGAAGTCCAGAGGCCCGGGTCCAGGGCATCCAGCGCCGGATCTCGAACGCCCTCCTCGCCCCTCGCCCCGCGTCGCCCGGCTCCGCTCCCCGCCCCGCGTCCACCGCTGGAGCCTGACAGCCCCGCCACCCGCGCAGGCGCCCCGCCCCGGCCCGCCCCGGCCCCGCCGCCCGCGCTCCCATCCCCGCCCCGGCGGGTCAGAGCCGGTGCCGGGCGCCCAGGGGTTGCCGCGCCGGGCGGGAGGGCCGCGCCTGAGCGGGCGGCGGGGTCGCGGGGTTCCTGCGCGCGGCCCGCCATGGAGGTGGAGGAGGCGTTCCAGGCGGTGGGGGAGATGGGCATCTACCAGATGTACTTGTGCTTCCTGCTGGCCGTGCTGCTGCAGGTAAGTCCCCGCGGCCCCACAGCCGCACTTCCCTCTTCAGGGCCGCCCGGCCCAGGGCCAGGCGTCCGCTCCCAGACCGCCGGGGCCGAAGCCGAGGCTCTGCAAACACCGAGGTGTGGCGAGCGTCGGGGTGGGGCAGGGGCGAGGCGCCGCGCGGTGGCCTGGGCCCGGCCCGCAGCGTCAAGGTCGCCGGCCGGCCTCAGAGTCTCTTGGGTTCTGCCGGGCCCTCCACCCCGCCGTCTTGAGTGCTGGAAGGAGCATGTTGGGGGAGGTTCCTCAGCTGCTATGCTGGTTAAAGAGGGATGCAAAATTGTGTTACCTGCCCTACGCTGTTGCCTGTAACATGCTGCAAATATGAAGGGAATTGTTACCCTACCTGTGGCACTGTCACCTTGGAATCTAGGACACAGTCTTGATAACCTGCAGGCAAAAGGTTGTGTCTAGGATCGCCTCCCTCTGCGCTGGGTATCCTCTTCCTCTTTTCCTGGGCTTGAGGGGACTTACTCTTCCAGGGGCTTTCAAAGCTTAGAATTTATTTCCCTCTGATTTAAGTTCTGCTGGCTCCTTCGGCCCTGTGCCAGCCTTGGGCTGAGACTCCTGTAAGCCGAATAGTGCCATCTACCATGTGTGGTTATCAAATGGAATCACTTCTTCATTATAAAGAATTCTGATAACCTACTTGTACACCCCAGCCTCAAAATATTGATTCCATATGCGAAAGGTCACTACAGATTAACTGCGCCAGGCAAGGGTTAGTCCTTCACCAACTTAAATGGCTCATTTGACATTAGTCCGCTTCTCTCAATGTGCCAAAGGCATTTCATTCACAAATCCTTTCTTAGTATTTGCTGTGAGCCAGCCATTTTACTCTTTCCTTCAGTCAACACGTTTAATACGGGCTAGGATGTGCTGAACACAGGGATGCCATGGTGGACAAATCATTCACTGCCTTCCGGAGCTTGCATTCCAGTGGCTGCGGGTGGGGCAGGCAGACAGTTAAGTAATTTAGTTAACTTGTGATGATAGTTATTCTGCAGGAAGTGCAGAGTGGTCATGGAGATAGCCACCAGTCCACAAGTTGCTTAAAGCTTGCATAAGGCAGTGGTTCAACAGGAAGATGGGGGAAGGAAGGGGTTGACTTCTTGATTAAAATGTTTGGAAGTTCAGTTGATTTCATCAGCCAGAAACGGTTCAAATGATGGAGTCAGTTCTTTGTCTAGCAGAACAGTTCCCAGCTCACGAATATGCGGTATTCTGAAGTTCTTTTAAGCTCGTTGTTCTAGCTTTAAACAAGCTTTCCCCAGGGAGAAAAAACGTTCAAGCTAGATAAGAGTATTTAATACAGAAAAAGTAGAATTGCAACCATGATGCCTGATCTTTATTTATAACTCTCTTTGAGAAAACCCATTTTCTGTTCCGGCCATGAATTCCAGGAACCTACTTCCTTTCTTGAACAATCCCAGTTCCCCAATTTTCTATCCCTACCCTTCACTTCCTGTTATCATTTTCTTATTTGCCTAGCCAAGTATCCACTAACTTGGAGTAAGTTTGTCTTCAGTGGAGTGAGGTTCTAAAAAGGCCAGTGTTCTGGGTTTAGGACTTGTTAAGTTTCTCTGACTTATTTATGGTTGACCCAGTTAGAGTTTGCTATCAAAAAGTTCCAAACCCATGCCCATGACCATTCACTAAACCTTGGCTGATTTATGGTCAGTATTTGCTGTACAAGGACCAGGTCTCAGAGTGTTGGGGATGAGTGACTGGTTGTTTGTCTTGTAGATGTGGGCAGGGAGATGCCCTGTAGCTGTGCCTATACCAGTGGAGGAGATGCCAGCCTAGGCAAAAGTGAATCCTTCACATGCTACATGTTTTTAAGGACTCAGTTACCCCATTGAGATACATGATCCAGGTGGTTGTAGAGCCACCCAGAGCTATCCTGGGTATGAGAATGGATATCCCCAAAGACCTCTCTACCAGGTCTGTTGTTGGAGATATTTTGGGTTAGGGCAGCTGGTCTGTGGAGTGGGAGTACTGTGGAATCCCATTGCTCAGTTGTATCACAGGTGATTTCATCATTCTTGGGGGTGAGGTTTTGCTTCCCCTAGCAGAGTAAGAAGCCCTTTTTACACAGTTACTTTAAATGAAAGGGGGTTTGTCTGCTTTTAAAATCAAAGGAGTTTTCGTACCATTGCCCAAGCAAGGGGCAGACCAACAACACAGCAAGAAGACCAGAGAGAGGGAGCCTCTGCTCCAGTGGGAGCCTTCTCCCTATCTGCTATTTGGTAATGATTAACCCCAGTTGAGAGGCACAAAACCAGAAGGACACAGGTGGAAACTTTATAGGCCTTTTAACATTTTCCTTCTTCTGGGACCATTATTATTTTTGAAAATGATTTTCCGTTTACTCCAAACACATCCATGTTCAAACTAGGAGGACAAAACCACATAGCAATGCCAATTCTAAAGGGTTTTTGGTTAACTGTTTTCTTGAATTATTGGTACAATCATGTACATCATTAAAAATTACCTCACTATCCAGTTTCCTTTGGCTAGGAGACTTGCCTTCATACTCCTCGCAAACACAATTTTTGGAATCTCAATAGCGTTCAACTAGGAGATAACTAAAGAACAGATGCAGATTTTGCAGATTTTTCCTCAGCATAAGATGCAAAGGCCCTGAAAATGGTGATACATGGTATTAATGTACGTAAACAAAAAGTGAAGGGAAAAAGATTGCCTATGTAAAAATGATTGATTTATGAATAAGCAATAAGCTTTACAGTTAGAAACATTCTTACCATCAAAATGTACTTGCTGTTCCTAGGATCAGAGCTAGCCGTGATATTTAAATAGGAATAATTCTATTTATGTATTACTGTTTCTCTTCTGATGGTCATTCCGAGTTGCTGCTATCATCACTACTTTGTGTTTGTGTATATGTTTGCTTGTTGTCTAGGCTCTCTGGAGGAGGAAGGTTGAAACACAATTCATTGTTTCTTGATTTCTTTAGACGTGAAATGAAAATGGACCTTACTTCTTTGTTCTAAGCCAGAGGCTCCTGCTTTGTCATTTTCCTCAAAATCATGAAGCATACATTGTAGTATAATTTGTACAGAATTTAAAACCCCCATTTACTATCAGGAACATGTAATCTATAACAAGCATTCGCCAGCAAAATTGTGATGCTGTGCTATGAATCTCATCTTAGATTCTGGTGTTCAAGAATGCATTATTTTTATATAAACTCTTAATAACCTTATTTTTTAGATCCTGGAATGACCAGTACATTAACATTATCCATGCAATAAATAGCTTTTCACGGCATTTTAGAAAGTGGAATGATTGCAGAAGAGGAAACTGTAATAGTTAACACACGAAAAGATGTTTTAAGTTTGGTGGTCATCTGGGACAGGCATATTAAAATGGCTATGAAATACCACTTCACACTTACCATATTAGCAAACATTAAACAATCTAACAGTACGAGTGTGATGAAATGAGAAATAGAAACTATGCCCCATTTAGAGAACAATTTGGCACCATCTAGTAGAATTAAAATCTAGCATTGAACTCGTAGGTGCATATCCTACATTGTCCCTTGAGCATGTGCATAGGGAGATATGTGTGAGATGTTTACTGCAACACTGTCTATTATAACAAAAGTTAGAACCACCTGACTTTCAAAACAGGACTGGATAAGATGTTGTATAAATCTAATAGAATACAACATCTGAAATAAATGAACTAGATCTGTATACGACTGTATGGAGGAATTTCTAAAACACAATGTTAAGTGAAAAAAAGCAGAACAGTGTATACTACGTGACACATATTCTTAATACAAATTTTAAAAACACACAAACCAATACTATATTTGTTTCATAAATATATATAAACAGTGTAGAAATATAAGAACACGGAGTAGAAAGATCCACACCCAATTCATGAGATTGGTTGCCTCTTGGGAAGGAAGGGAAGGGGTGGGCTTAGGGGAGGGTACAAAGGAGATTGCATCTGTTATCATTTGTTGATTGTGATAGTAGTTTCATGAATTTTGTTTTTTGCTTTTCCATATTAAATATTTTTAAGTGAAAAGATGGTAAAGGGAAGAAGATATGCATATCTAGGAGAGAATACTATAGTTTGCTGTATGAGAATAACGGTTCATTCTTTTTTTAAAATCAATATTCCTTTGATCAATTATGGCTGTGAATTGTGGTCCTTTAAGCACAGGAGGGTGGGGTAGAGTGAGTTTTATTCAGCCTGTTTTGTTAAACTTCATGTAGAATGCTATCACAACTTACCTCCCCTATCTGCTTATACGTGGCACCATGTCCCTCCCTCCACAAGAAATTCTTAGGTTTGGTGAGATATGACTGAGATCATAGCTGGTTCTTCTAACCTCCCTGGCATAAGCAAGTGATGAAGTTCACACCGTAAGCATTAGTGAAGCCCTTGTACAGTTATAAAGACCAGCTGTCATCCCCAGGGTGTTCTCACCATCACTGAGGTTTCAGCCATGGTGAGAACCTATGGTCTTAGTAAGACCCTCTCATGACTCCAAAACATGTGGCCATTTACCAGGGCTCTCTTGCCAGTTTGAGCAAATTTTATGCTGCTCCTACTGTCAAATTTTATTTCTATCAGCCCTCACACAGTGGCCTGGAGGTTGGGTCTCCTGAGGGTTTATGGTGATCTGGGAACTTTTACCTTTCACCAGTTTAGGTGGGTGGGGCAAAGAGACACACACAGTAGTTTGGTCAAAGAAACCAAAGCCACACTGGCCCCCACACCCTCAGGAAAACTGTTGTTGTCCATAGACAGACACTGCCCCCTAGTGTAGAGCAGATAAAGTTGCTGATCTGTCAGACAGATTTTCATCCAGGGAGGTTGTAGAGATACAGGAGGCCTCTAAAAGGGTTAAGGAGCTCCTCTGGGCCTGGATGTCTCAAGAATTAGGACATTCCATGGGAAGCAACTAGCCTGATGCCTCTGCAGCACCCAACAGCTCCGCCAAATGCCTTCCAAGGCCATCCATGGCTGTTTGACTTGTGCCTTGACAGTGAAGGTATTATTTCCCAAGGTAGCACAAAAAAAGTCATTAAAGTCACGAAGACGGGCAATGTGAATATGGCAGAAAGAACACTAGGCTTGAATGCTGTGCCACTCTGCTGCAAGATGGCATTATTAGGCAATTGTTATTAGGCAAATGACCCCTCAGTCTCTACTGTGCGCTTGGAAATGACTGGATCACGAAAGTTTAATTTGTTTTGCAAGTTTAGGATTTCTCAGAGTTCCCCAATGCCCGGCAATTAATTGGCCTTGTGGCAGTGTTGACCCTAGGTTTCAGAATACTGGCTTGGTTCATCACCACAGGTAGAAGTTGCCTTAGAAGAAAAAGACTCTCAAATCCGAAGATGCTCACAGCTCAGGACTCTCCTCTCTGATTTCTTTGACCAAACACTCATATAAACTGATATCTGCCTTCATTGGACACAATATGGTACTCAACAAATGGCATATGGTGATTGTAGAGTAAAGAGAAAATATAGAAATTAATACAAATCACTAGTGATTCTACCACCCTAAAGTAAAGCATGCTCACATTTTGGTGTATAGCCTTCCAGACTCTTTATTATATAAATACTGTATATCCATCTTTTTTGCAGAAATGTGTATTGTAAGTGGATTTTTGTCTCTCAGCAATGTTGTGAATGCCTTGTTATGCACGTAAAGGAATAGCTACGTATTTTTTAGTGGCTGTAACATGGTATATCAATATATGGCCATACTGTAATTTGCTATTCCGTTCTCTTGTGTTGCATATGTTATGCTTCCTCTTTTTCAAGTTTACAAACCCACACAGCCCATGGTATTGGTTCTTTCTTCTGTTCTGACCTTTACTTCTTGCCAGGTGATTGTTTATCACTCTTCTCAAGACCAGACTTCTCCTGACTCCATTTGTCTAGTTCTACCTAGAT